GTCAATAAATAAACAGAGCCAAGTTTAGTAACAAAATAGCAAATATGTTATTCCACATCATACATTTTATGTCAACTGTAAGGCGTTTTAAGCTCCACACCCCATGTGTCTATGGTCACAGCACTTGCCAAAATAGCCTCAGTTAAACGGAGTTAAGACATTTAGTTTTAAATTGAAGGTTGTATGTTCGAATCTTAAAACAGTGTTGTTTTTTATTATTTATTTATATTTTTTAAAGAAAATACACAAGAAATAAAAGAAATGATTAATCCATTAATGCTTCATTTTTTTTAAAAAATCTGAAAAAGAATGTTTGAGGATTCGAGCTTGCATCTTCGGGACTACAATGATACTATCATACTGACTTCAAGGTCATAGGGACGTTAGTATAACAGAAAGTATCCAGAACACTCATATCCTTAAAATCAATTAGTAAATACAAAATGTGGTAATGAATTACGGAAACTAACGAAAAGCTTCCAAAGTCTCAGGTCAATATTGCCTTCGTTTAATAGGGAAAATAGCGTAACGGGAAGGAACTCACTACTACTTATAGGCTATTTCAATGTTAAATTGTCGGATCAGTTACAGCCCTTTTCAAAATTAAAGCTAGCAAGGTTCTTTACGACTAAGCTAGTATTAGTAAACGACTATGGGTTTTCATTGTTAAATAGTTTTTAATGCAATTTCATACTGCGCAGGTCCTGACATAAACATTTTTGTTTGGTTGTCCTATCAGGCAAGTACTTTTGAAACTTACTTGCCCTGACCCAAAGCTTGCTTGCCCAGACCTTAACCGGTAAAGTGTTGAAAACAACCATACATTAGTAAGTTTCGAGATAAAGGGTTGGCAATCTTTACATATCAACTAAATTAAATTAAATTAAGTTCAGGGTTATGATTTGAACTTCAATAGGGTCTGATTACCTTTAATTAGAGGTGTTGACATAATAATGTTAATGAAGTTTTGACATATTAATCAGACAACTTGATACAGATAGCCTGTGTATATGTACAAGTGCCCCTGTTGTGAGCTTCGACATTTACTGTCTAGACAAATTTGATCCATTCTAATTAAGTCTAATGAAGATTGAAATCATAATTTGCAAGGATTATTGGTCATAAAATTGGAATTAAATATGTTTACTTATGATTTTTTTCACTTGCCCTCTTGGGCAAGTTGTCTTGAAATTCACTTGCCCTGGCCAAACTTTTTGTTGTCCAGGGCAGTCGGACAACTGTTAATGTTTAGCCCTGACTGGGAGATATTAGAAATAAAATTTTATTCGACATCAGCAATATTTATAAATGCCTGAAATTTTGCTAAGCTATTATCAATAAATACATGTACTTTACAGATAAATCCACAGGGAGAAGGTACGTGGTAGGATGGAGAATATTTTGTTTACATTACAAGCTAAAAAGAAATAGAGGGTCACTGCTGCTGCCATTTAAGTTTTAACACTGGATCATACGTGGGTAACTACAAGACACAATGCACAGCAAGCCGTTTCGGATTTTTCACGGAGCCATACTTGGCTAAGAAATTTGCTAAAAGAGTAAACATTGGGAGTACTAATATTGGGTATTTCTCAAAGAGCCATATGTTACTCTGAACGAGACAAACAACCATTCAAGTATTTACAAGGAGTCACGGGGGGCACAGAGTCATACGTGACTACATTCTATATACTGACAATAATAATATCTGTTGCAATCCGAGGGGACCCTTCCATTGGGAAGACTCGTTACTGCCCATGCACACCTAGCACACCATCGTCGTCGACTCAGAGCCTTTTTTGTAGGGCCAATCCCCTCGGCTTTAGTCAGGACACCGGCATCTAACTTCATGCAAGCGAAGTCGTGCGCCTTAAACGTTACCCCGAACTGTAGAAAGCGAACTTGCCGTCTTACACGTAGCATTGGTTCTTCAATCATCTGCCGATGCCCTGTGTCTTCTCAACGATGAACACGTACCGAGGGGAAGTGTAGTTTAAGTTAAACAGTACTCTTGCTATATATACTGCAGTTAGTTGTAAAGATGATTGGGTTAAGCAGAGACTGTAACGTCACAAAAATCAATGACCCCTGGGGCAGGGTCAATTTACCCTATGGCTTTTGTTTGAACAAACTTGGTAGACATTCACTAGAAGATGTTTCATACCAAATATCTAAGCTTTAGGGCCTTTATTTTTGCAAGAAGATTTTTTAGTTTTACTATATTCAAAACCAATGACCCCCCTTGGACAGGGCCAATTTTGAACCTCTAGAGGGATTATATTTGAACAAACTTGGTAGACATCTACTAGAAGATGTTTCATGCCAAATATCATAGCTTTAGCTTTTTCGTTTTTTCTTTCGGTTGCCATGGCAATCAGAATTTAGCATGGAATGAATGGAATTCTTTGAACAAATTGGTTACATGCAAGGAACATTCCTGCTTAGTTTAAATAATATTTGCCTATTGGTGTATGAGGAGTTGTTGTTTTAAGAGTTTAACACTATTTTTGAAGTACGCACAGCGGCACTGATGTACATAAACGCAGTGATCACAGAAACTCACCCTTGAGCACTTTGTGTTCAGCTGAGCTAAAAAAAACAACAATAAATAGGTCAGTGATTTTATTTTAATGTAATCAATTCTTATTTTCCTGGTAAATATATAATATTTGCCTATTGGTGTATGAGGAGTTGTTGTTTTAAGAGTTTAACACTATTTTTGAAGTACGCACAGCGGCACTGATGTACATAAACGCAGTGATCACAGAAACTCACCCTATTTGGATATTTGGATCAAAACAGTAGACACTAGAGTGTCAACATGATTTTTCTACTTTTAGCTCATGGGACCTTATTTTTCATCTGAAATGACCACATCTGAAATGACCAATGTTCAAACATATCCGACAAGCAGTCTGACAAATTTTGATGATGATTGAGGCAAAAATGTGATAACTAGAATATTAATGAATAAATGTGGACGGACGAGAGACTACGGACATTTGACGATCCTTAAAGCTCACCCTGAGCTAGCTCAGGTGAGCTAAAAAGCCAAAGTATGTCACTAGGTCAAAATTAAGGTCAGCTGATATCAAAGTTCAATTTTACATTTAAAACTTTGCACATGATTCAAAGTTCATAGCTAAGAAAGTAGGCAACTTGGTCAAAATCTAGGTCGGCTGATATCAAAGTTCATCATTTTAACATCTAAAACTGTACATGTGGTCCAAAGCCCAAAGCTGTGACTCCATAATTCAGCAAAAAGTCATTCATCTACTTTAAGGTCAATGCCTTTAGGTACATTCAATTAAATTAATAACTCATCAATGGCATTGACCTTGAAGGTCAAATTATTGTATTTCACAGGGTTTACTTTTTTGCCATATTGACTATTACTTTTAAAGTAAAGAATTGATTGTATTCATATGAATTGATTGTATTCATACTTCGCACAACCATCCTTTGGAGGAGACATTAAAACATTAAAAAGAATACTAAATTGACCTTGATATTAATTTGATTTTGACCTTGACACTGCAATTACTCAGTTTTACCTAGACAAGCATCCTGACCAAGGCTGATGACAATTGAGTCAAAAATGTGACCACTAGAGTGCTGACAAGGTTTTTCCATATTTGGGCGGTGTGACCTAGTGTTTGACCCTAGGTGACCCATATTTGAACCTGGCTTAAAAATCATCAACACAAAATTTCAGACCAATTTCCAGGATATATGGATCAAAACAGTAGCCACTAGAGTGTTAACAAGATTTTTCTATTTTTAGCTCCTGTGACCTAGTTTTTCATCCAGTATGACCCATATTCAAACACATCCAAACAATTACTTAGAAAATCATTTGACAAAGTTTGACGATGACTAAGTCAAAAATGTGACCACTAGAGTGTTCACAAGGTTTTTCCATATTTGGGCGGTGTGACCTTATTTTTCACCCCATGTGACCCAAATTCAAACTTGACCTAGAAATCATCAAAACAAACTTTCAGACCAATTTCCTGGATATTTGGATCAAAACTGTAGCCATTAGAGTGTGAGCAAGAATTTTCTATTTTTAGCTCCTGTGACCTAGTTTTTCATCCAAGATGACCGTGTTCGAACTCATCCAAGCAATTACCTAGACAAGCATCCTGACCAAGTTTGATGACAATTGAGTAAAAAATGTGTCAACTAGTGTTAACAAGGTTTTTCCATATTTGGGTGGTGTGACCTAGTGACCGCTAAAGTGTTAACGAACAAATGTGGAAGCTAAAAAGTCAGATTTAACATCCAACAATTTAAGTATTATTTACTTTCACTTAAAAAAATTTCTTTAAGAGTATGTGCAGCCACAATTATGCCAAAACTTTATAATCTTCACATATCTTACTATATATATGTATGTAGTGTACATGTAGCTTTATACCGCAACACTGCATGAACTGAACTAATTTACAAAATTTAAGATAGCATTTTTTGTCCAGTATAAACGACAAATGCATTTCATGTCATTACAAAGTTAGTCAATCATAATGGGGTGTGTATCGGTGGAATCGAGTGAGATCAATATTTTACCATCAAAACTTCAGTACATTTTGACTTTAAGAGTTACGATAAATTGAGTACATCATACATAAAGTATTAACATATATAGCAAGCTATAGTAACAACATCAAGTTTAAGATTTGTGGGCTATAGTTATACAGTAGATTTTTTATGTTTTTTACAAAGGGACTGATTTTGCTCAAAAGTCACATAAGAGCTATAATTTGGTCCTTAACAGGACCTACATGCTCTCAAACTACAATGTGTGAGCTCAAGTCGATCCCTTCGTAATTTTGACATACCAACTTGATGCAAATCTTAACAGAAGCCGATCTGGTTAGTACAATTATCAGCTCTCCCCATGTTCTGTTGAATAGGTTCAAGCTTTAAAAAGTGCTGATAATATTGTTTAAGCAAGTCTAACATATTTCAAATATGTGAAAATGCTATATCTAATACATCAAAGAAAGATGAAATACCTTGTTTTTTCAATCTAAATTTTTCAACAATTTCATTCATTTCTGCCTGTGACATAGGTTTGGTACACTTTTCTTTATATATCTCAAACATTTCACCAGCATGTTCTTTAAAATTTGACTTTATGTGTCCTTCTTCAAATTTAGGATAGAGGCCATTAGTTTTATCAAAATAATTTTCAAAATTCAAGGCAAACCAGATACTAAAGATAGTTGACAAATTTAAGACGCGTTTGGGCCCGATCACTTTGAAGATATCAAATCATCTGTCATTATCAGACTATCCAATTTACAGTTGTACATAGTTATTCTTATAACTTTAGAAGTTGCAATTAAAGACGGTATAAAGGAACTGAACAACTTTTGATTATTGTTCACTTCTGCAAATGCATTAACAATTGTTTGCGCCAATATCTGTGACAATGCATGATCACTTATCCCATTCTTTTTCTCTCCTTTTTCAACACTGCTGTCATAATTTTCACCTGACTCTGAACTCTCATCATCTTCAATACTTTCAGTTCTCATTTTCTTTTGCAGTGGTTCAGAACTTCCATCCTCTTCATCGGAATCATTCTCTTCAGATACTACCTTGACTACACTTCCTTTCACAAGTATATCTGCATGCCCATGCCACACATCTCCATGACCTGGTATACATATAGATAGGTAATTTACTTTGGTAAATCAACGCTGAAGTTTCATTGCATAAAAACTTTGAGATTGTATGAAGTTCAATTCACTAACAAAACTTACATGGCAATCCCTGTAGATTGTGAAGTTATTCACAGCAAAAGTAGGTGAATTTAGCAATATTTGATAAAACTTGTTAAAACTTTACAATAAAGGGACATAATCATCATATTTTAAGGTATATTCCTACATGTATGATATCTACTGTATTATATAAGCCGTTCAATCGGTGAAAATAATTTTTAACGCTTCCAATTATAATTTTTAATTAAAGCTAATTTATTAATTAAAGATACATGCATATCAAACATTTACATTAATTGTTTTCAGACTGGGATATGTCTGGTATGTAGCTCCCTGATTGAATATGCAAAGCGAAAATAAAGGGTGAGGTTGACCTGATGAGTATATGGAGTCCACATAGAATCTATATACCCGCCATTAAAACAATTAATAATACAGCAATCCGAAAGTGGGGCAACAAATTTGTTTTATTCAAATTTTAAGTTAATCAAAAATGATTTTCACAAAGCAGTCTGAAGGACAGCTAAATCCTCTTTCGCAGCAGATATGAATGGGTATTTCTTGACCTTTAACCAACCATGACCTTGATGTTGTGACATGCATATCATAAGCACATAGTCTCATGATGGTGATTATTTGTGCCAAGTTATTCAAAATCTTCTAAAAAGGGCCGCCAAAAGGTCATAAAGTTATGGAGAACATGCAACCATTGACCATGGGGGTAGCAACCTAGATGTAACTTTGGGGTAGCAACCTGGATATATGTTGTGTTCTGCAGATTGTGTCATGGTGGGGATCATTTGTGCCAAGTACATTTAAAACCTTTGAATTATCAATAAGTTAAAGAGCCGAAATGAAAAATAGATGTTTTAAAATTCAAGTTAATTCAAGTTATCTTAAAATATTGCAGCAGTTTAAATGTTATGGAGCGGACACGAAATGAAGACTTTTAATCACTTGACCTTAAATTGTGACCTTGAACTTTGGGGTAGTAACCCAAATATTGCGCTCTTCACATCATCTCATAATGGAGATCACTTGAGCCTTCTTGTGCCAAGTTATTTCAAAAGTTTTTTAGCGGATTAAAAGTTATGGAGTGGACACAAAAGTATTATAGATGGACAGAGGGACAGATAGATGGAAGGACGGGCAAACAAACAGACAAACAGAGGCCATTCCTAAAATTCCAACCTGGCTTTGTGGAATGGGATTAATAAATACTACTTATAATAAAAAGTCAAATGTGTTGAAATAATGGTGATACAACTAAAGAAATGCAAAAAAAAAACTAAGTTAAGTGCCACTCACTTTAAAGGGACTCCAATGAGGTTTAAAAGCCTAAAAACATAACATTTGACTTTCTTACATAAATGAGCTGGGGCACTTTAAACAGAAATATACGGTATGCAAAAGATAGTTAAGAAATATACATTGTACTTTGAAATAAATTGAAAATTGTACTTTTATGCTTTTCTTAACCAAATGGAGTGAAAAGCATTCAAACCCTTTTATTTTGCGTCATTTTTTTACAATTTGAATAATTATTGTGGAAAAATGAAGTGCGCAAATGATCCAAAATTTTGCACACCTTAGTGGAGTCACTTTAAAGGATTGCAAACAAATGACAAACAAGAGGGCCATGATGGCCCTGAAGTCGCTCACCTGTATATAGGCCCCCAGGCCTTTTATTTGAACAAACTAGGTAGATACCCATTAGAAGATATTTCACGCTAAACATCTAAGGACTAGCTCGTTGAGTTTTTAAAAAAAAGATTTTTTTAAGTTTTAACTATACACATATAGTTAAAAGCAATGACACCCCTAGGGCGGGGCCAGTTTTGACCCCAGGGCTTTTATTTGAACAAACTTTAGAGACACTCACTAGAAGATGTTTCATGCTTGATATCTAAACAAGAGGGCCATGATGGCCCTGAAGTCGCTCACCTGTATATAGGCCCCCAGGCATTTTATTTGAACAAACTAGGTAGATACCAATTAGAAGATATTTCACGCTAAACATCTAAGGACTAGCTCGTTGAGTTTTTAAAAAAAAGATTTTTTTAAGTTTTAACTATACACATATAGTCAAAAGCAATGACACCCCTAGGGCGGGGCCAGTTTTGACCCCAGGGCTTTTATTTGAACAAACTTTGGAGACACTCACTAGAAGATGTTTCATGCTTGATATCTAAACTCTAGCTATTCTGTTTAAATTAAATTCTTTGAACAATTTTTAAAGGTGACCACCAAAGGAACATTCCTGTGAAGTTTGGATGAAATTGGCTCAGCGGTTTATGAGGAGATGTCATTTAAAGTAAAAGTTTACGGACGGACGGCCGGACGGACGCCGGACGAAAAGCGATCACAAAAGCTCACCCTGTCACTTTGTGACAGGTGAGCTAAAAATAGTAATCAGATAATTATGTATTAAATTGAAAATAATCCAATCGGGTTGCCTGAAATTGAATCAAATTGAACATTTGATGAATTGTTTTAAATATGTGAACAAAGGAAATAACAAATAATTTGTTTGCAAATATTTTAGTTTCAATTGGGACATATTTCTTATAGAATGGGTAAACCTAAGTATAATTGCCATTGAGAATGGAGACACTGGGAAAAGGCCTGTTAAGAATAAAAACAAAAACAAAACAAATTTTGCCGATCTACTTATATGTAGTACTACCACAGGAAGAGTCTACATTGTCTCTTTTAAAGAAAAATTACTTTGATTCAATCTAAATGCAACTTTGACCTTCAAGCTACTGAACTTGATCTAATACATAGCATATATTACACTTCAGCAAGAAATATAATTTATATTTATATATTTTTAAGTTTTCCACTAATATCTTTGCCACAGTTCGGACATCTTCTTGCATCTTTTGGGAAACCTTTGTTTCCAATCTTGTAACCACCAGCCAATGGTCCAAACAAATGAGCAGCAAGAATAACTTGAACGTTATATTCATTATTGGCGTCCGCGCCGAAGCGCGGCGCCCTTATGGAATGAAATCAGATTTTGTGAAAGGGCGACAGCAACTTCTCGAGCCTTTTAGTCGGTCATAATATAAGCCGATCATTCCGATCGGTATGAGGGTGCTTGATTATTAATTAAGAATGAAATGACGCGATATGTTACAATGAATAGCGAACTGGAGAATTTCGCAATGCAAACATTTTCAAATGAAATAACCTTTTCCGTCAATAAATCGCGCTCTTCGGGTTTTTTTATTTATCATTTTGTAGTACACAGTGGGTTATCACGGTATGTTATTGTTGTACATGTATCCTAGAAAGATCAGTTGATGACCTAAATATTCCAAAAATCTTATTTATAGATATATCTATTTATCACTCCTATCGGTAATTACCGGTCTCTCCCGGTCTATTTTGACCGGGATTTACTAGTGACCGGCGAATAGTACCACACGTTTATTGTCCGGTCTCTCCCGGTTTTGGAGTAGATGTTTGATGTCGTTACAATTAGAATAAAGTTTCCTTTTAAAAGGAAAGGCTTGCACAGTTGTGCCTTCATCCCAACATATTTATTTGTTTTTATTTTTGTAAAAACGAATATTTTTGTCAAAACGATTTGAAATCTATTCTCTATTGTATAAAACTAATAAAGAAAATAATCAATCGTAAAAATACTAACGTGAAGATCTATCATACTGAAAGGAAACAAGTGTGCACATTTCATTTAATTAATAAGCATGTTCCCAGATACGATGCGCTATCTATAAATCGTCACGTGGTAAGGTTAATGATATGCATGGGCTATTTTTAGATTACCTCACCAAGTTCAGTAGATCTAAATATAACTCGATCATGCACTGTGTGATTTGGACCACCCTTTGAAGACGGAATACTACTACAGTCAACATCCTCTATTGTGTAAAACTAATACAGACAAAAAACAATTATAAAAGAAACTAACTTTTGCGTCTTGAAAAAGAATTGAAACGGAACAATTTCGTTTATAATTTATTACGGTTTAAATCAATAAATCAAGTAAAAATACGAATCCTATTTATATAAACAAACTGGGATTACCGAAGTAACTAAAATAGCTTAGATTTCCGTAATATTACTTCGTTTGATTCCGCAGTATGACGGAATCGCCCGAATTGTCACGATTGCAATCGGAAGTACATCGGCTATTATCATTAATCCGAAGAGTGACGGAAAAGGCCGAAAAGTTGCGATTGGCACGATTTCAGCTGGTTTCCCGTTCAATCATGCACTTATAAATGTAAGCAGAAAACCACCTAACCGGAACAGGTTTTCCAAATGAAATGGCTTGCAGCCGTGGCTGCAAGCCAAAAAAAACAACAATAGCATGTTTCATTTTATCTATATTAGATAAAAACAATAACTATGTACACGGATTTATATGTAATATAAATCCGTGATATGTACAATAATTGAGAAAAAGGTACATTTTTATGGTATTAAAATGACATTATCAACTTTGAAACATTTTATTTAATTTGTTATCCGTGTTTAGTAAAGATGCCGAGGAATTATTCAAAGTTACAAATTAGATTTTATGAATTATTCAATTGATTGATAATTTAAAAAATGATAAAGAAAAATACAAATGTACATGTACATGGTTTAAAAATAAACAATATTATATATTAAAAGATAAACCATAATTTACTGACTTTTTCCAGTTAAGCTTTGACTTATAATCGTCGGTCAATATGACAATTGAATTCTTAAAATTTATTTTACAATTTTAATAAAAAAAAGAGTAGTAAAAACTCAGTATAAAAATAGCACATAAAACACAAAAAAGAAAAGAAAACAATATTCATAAAATTTGTATTTTTTTGTTAAAATTAATAGATATTACAATTATTGTATAATAAACAATTATGCTCAACATGATCAACATGGTAATATAACCAGTGTCATATTTTTACTAACTTAAAGTGTGAACAGATACCTTAAGAGGGGGTCTTAACTAATAGCGATAACATAATAAGGGACAATTACAAAGGTGTGGTACGTGTTGATCATGCGTTACACATATGGATTATAAATAATTGCATACATGTATATCCGTTGCTATTAATAACCACGATCATAAAGAAATAACAAGTGATATTCTAATCTCTAGCATGCCAATCAAAGTTCATAATGAACAATGTCTTTCGTCCGCTCATTCATAAGTGATATACATTTCTGGTAGTTTATAAGAATATCTTGTCATCATATGTGTACTAGTTCATCTTCACTTGCTGCATTTCTTGCTTGGACGCCCTGTGATGCTTTGCATCAATGCTTTTCTTGTAATCCTTGTTTTGAAACAATGAAAGAAGACACTCCTCATGCTGTTCTGAAATTAAATTAACAATTATTATCTCAATATCAATTATTATCTCAATATCACAAAATATGTACAGCAAATAAACCATACATACTATTCTGCCTATTCTAAAAGGAAAGAAGAGACCAAGAACATAAATATCATTAAAATCAATAGCAAACATGCAGAATCTACTGTATTACTAGAAATTATTTTGCTTTTTTTTAAGTTATTGTTTTTCACAGTGGATACATTTCCATGAATATATGTACCTGTGAAAAAATTACAGGTAACAAATCTGTGAACATTTATAGCTTTAACCACTTAGAATGTCATTATGTCAGTATGAGGTACTATGATCAGGTCTAGTATATCGCCAGATTAGTGCATGATGCACCAGTATGTGTATGATGCACCAATTGGTGTACCAGACTATCATGCAAATCTTTGAAGACCAATTATTTTGTAAATATAGCAGTGTGAATTGTGGCACCTGCACTTTCTATAGATAATATTCATAGAAATATCCTAAAACTAAAAATATTGATGTAAACACTGGCAATTCTTGCACTTTTTTGAAAATCAGCATTTTACACTAATTGGTGAATCCCAAAATTGGAAGTGGTAATTACTTTCCAGTCAAGAGACAATTTCAAAACTAAGTATACCTGATCATAAATAAACAATAAATTATTTACAGAAATGCATTTATCAAAATTTTTATTCATCAATCGGTGTATGATTAAATATATCAATTTGTGTATTATGTACCATTTTGAGCATAAGACATGCGCTAATCTGGTGATATACTAGACCTGATGATGTAGTACGCAAAATTTTTACCTATGTTTAACTAAATCAATCAAATTTTTAAGTAGCACATATATATAATTATGTATACTTTTAACACTTGACCTTTAAGTACGACCTTGACCTTGAGAGTAGCAACCCAATTATTGTCCTCTGCCAGTGATTTTACTACTTATATAACAGACTCCGAAAAAAAGCCTCTTCCCAATTGGAATTTCCTTTAAAATCATGCAATTTTCCCAAAAATCTGAACTTAAACCAGCTTTTTTACTTCCCAATTCATCAATTTTAGCGATGATTTTTCCCAAAATCAAAAGGCTAAGGCCTCTTCCCAATAAAGTGAGAAAAAACACTGTCTGCACATTGTCTCATAATGGAGATCAATCACTAAATTAAGTTATTTAAAAATAATTTTAGGGGTTTAAAAATGTTATAATGGGGCAGATGCCCACAAAATGTAGACTTTTAACACTTTACCTTTAAAGTGACTTTTGACCTTGGGGGTAGAACCCCAATTATTGCACTCTGCACATCGTCTCATAAAGGTGATCTATGCCAAGTTATTTAAAAAAAATCACTCTGTTTAAGTTATGACAGACGGATAGACAGGGGAAGGTCTCCTGAAATTTTGGGAAACAATTCTGGTATAAAACAAGTACAATTATGGCTTATTCTGAACTATACATGGGGCCGATTCGATTAAGGGCCGAAATGTCCAGGGACGAAATGTCTTCAAGACCAAAATGTCTTCGGACCGAAATGACCCGGAATCGTTTGCTCACATAAGAAAGTCCGAGAATGAAAACTTACTCTCTGCAATGAATTCTTCCAACTATGATATTTCCTCTATTCTGTCAGTTTCCCCTTTAATGTAAGAAACCAATGTTTTGATACTATTAAGCTGGAAAGAGGCAAGCGGCCACCCTTCGTGAACTTCAAAGTGAACTATGGCTTCCGAAAAGCTTCTTCCAGGCACTGAGGCGTCGCAACATAAATTCTTTAGCGGACATGTTGTTGTAAGAAAATTGCAATTTTTCAAATATTGACGAAGCCTTTCCTTTGCCGGGCTTTTATTTGAACAAACTTTGTAGATATTTACTAAAAGATGTTTCATGCTTAATATCTAAACTCTACTGGCATGCGAGCAGTTCCCGTACAGAAGCAGTTCCCGTATTTTTCATTTAAACGCTTGATTTTTACTTGCATTCTTCAAAAATTCATTTCAAATCAAGCAGATACATAAACAAGACAAAATCTAAGTGTCAGTTCGGCAGTACGTATAAAAAGTCTCATTTTAAATCACTTTCACCTGTGCGTCGTCAAAACGTGACCTTGTTTTCTCCGGGGGATTCCGTCCATGCGCGCATGTGCAAAAATACTTACACGTGAGGCTTGTTAAAGGGTTTTCCACTAATACCACCTGTTTACAGATAAGTAGGCAATGTGATGGAAACTTGTTTAATTATCAGAATTTTGACCATAATTACTATATAAAATAATTGTATGGCTTTGATGCGTAAAATATCATGCATACAAGCATGCTATTGCTTGTGAATGCATTGGGGTAACGGTACCGGGTAATAGATACCTGCGATTAGTCTACGCTCTACTTCCTGAATTACATCTATTTATCTCTTGGATAATGGTCTGTTCAACAATTGTAAATGAAAAAAAGGTCCGATATAATAAAATTATATAATTATAATGGGTTAGATTTTATGTACGGGAACTACTTCTCTTCATACAAAATAATGGATAATTTCGGTACCCCATTTGAGGCCCCATAAGTAAGGGTTATTCTATGTTTAGAACATGATGGAATTTCCATGATGTGTGTGACGAGCCGAATATTGAT